CAGGCATTTGAATGGTATTTAAAATCTACTGAAAATGAAAACGCTTCTTTAATGTCAGACAATCCAAAAGATTTAAGAAAAGCGCAAGAGCTTGGCCTGGAAAGAAATCGAGAAAAAATGTTAAGCGAATTAGGAGGTAAATCAAAAGAACAAGAACTTGATCTGGAAAGAAGTCGAGAAGAAATGTTAAGCAAATTAGGAAGTAAATTAAACGAACAATATCTGGAAGACTTGAATGAAACTTACGAATTTAGAGAAGCCCCAGCATTATCTGTCGAGCCGCGGGGTGTATGGAATGTCAAGTCATCGGCTGGTAAAGAAAAAATGGGGTACACTTATCTCAAAAATGTAAATTTTGAAGGTGGAATTTTCCGAGTTCGGGATTTCCAAGGATTTGACCGAAATACGTACGTGTATATGTTGTTTTATTATTTTTTGTTAGCGCAAAGATGAGTGAAATAGTGATGGCGCAAAAATTTGGCGGTACCGTGATTTTTATCCAATCCGATTGTAAGATCATAAAATGCAAAGTAAAAAAATTAAAGGCGAAAAAAAAAGAAACTCATCAATTCGCAAGGAAAATTAGAAGTTTTTGGCACAGAAATTTAGATTAAGGATACCGCCGATTTGCGATAGCATAATCTGCGCATAAATCAGATTACAGTATATCGCAAAAGCATATGAGATAACATATTGGCATATCGGGGCTAATTACAGCTGTTCTCATAAATTCTGGGACAAATTAAAAATTTGTTCGTTACCCGAAATCTTTTCGGTTTCATCCTGCAAATTATCTAGCTCTCCGGAAACTACATCGAACTTTCAGTTCGGAGACAGCGATGTAGTTTCCGGAGAGTTAGGTAATTTACAGGACGAAGCATAAAGATTTCGGGTAACGAGAAAAATTTAATTTGTCCCAGAATTTATGAGAACAGCTGTAGTAGAGCATAATCTGCGCATAAAATGGTAAAAATAGAGCAGAAGAGCAGAATAAGTATAATTGTAATTTTTATTGGAAGTCGACGAGCACGTAAAAAATTATAAGTAATTTTTTGATAGTGGTCGCAACTAGAGGTGTGAATGTAATACCGTAACTTGTTGTAACTATAATGAGTTATGGGCTTTTTTTTTGCCATAACACATTATAATTATAGGACTCGCGTTGTAAATCACGTTAGGGTGAAATCCGCGTTTAGCTTTTTTTTATTATGCAAAAGCGAATTTCACCCTCTTGTGATCTATGTACGGATTTTACTAATTCACAGCGTGGGTTTCACCCTGTCGTATTATAATTACAGCAAGTATTCACACCTCTAATCGCAACTATAGTTTGGAACCGATGTTATCTTTAATGTGTTAACCCCGGTTTTAATCGGGTTTAAGATATGAAAAATGAAACCCTAGTCGCAACTTTTCGCATAATTTGCAGCATAATTCTAAAAAATTTATCGCATAATTCGCAAAAACTAATTTGATCATTTATGTAGTCTGTAAATACATAATTTTAGTAATTTTATTTTATTTTATTTTTTTAATTCCTTGATATTAATCATGTCTCTAAGAGATATCCGAATTGTTGTTGGAATAGGTGAATATATAGGTCTTATTTTATTTGCTATTGCTTTGACCGCTTATTTGAATGAGTATAACATTAACGTTGTGATTTTTCATTTTTGTAGATTTTGGAACTACATTTTCCGTAAGATTCTTTACAAATCCAACTCTCATTCTCTTTTTATTATTTATTCATATCTTTAATTTTCAAATAGGGTTTTGCCTACGCTAGCAAAGTAAATTCCGAAATATCAACTAACAACATTTGGCCAGACCATGTAGGTCAATTTAAAACAAACACGGCACTATTGTATGACAAAGATCTGAGTGAAGTCAAAGCATGGGGTCGTTCTGGTGAAAAATTTATCTTAATATCTTTTAACATTTTGACCTTATCGATGATTCTAATAGTAAATATTTTCGGTTAAAAATTCTTCAGCACTGGCTGAAAAACCAAGTGGAAGACGTTCTCAAAAATCGAATAATTCGATACACGTTGAATTATTTAAATTACATTTGGGTGATATTCCAGATGATGACAAACCGAT